CACCGGCAGCTGCACCCCGAGCATCAGCATCTCGGCGTCCGTCGGCGCCACATCAAGCACATGCACCACCATGCGCTCCAGCAGCGCCCCGCGGCAATGCAGCGTCTCAAAGCCCATCACCAGGTCCCAGAAGCCCCGCACGAACGCCATGTCGCCGGGGAACTCCTTCACGGCGGCATCCAAGATGGCGCCGACGACGGCGCCGTTGAGCGCCGGGTTTGTCGTGATGTCCTCCAGCGCCGCCGCATCAACGAGATGGTCCTTCCGCGGCTTGCCGCTCAACTCGTCGGCACTAACACTCGGTAGCTTGATCTCGTCGCCGTCGAGATCCATCCCCGTCTCCTCCTCCTCCTCCTCCCCCGCCCCTTGCCGCTGCTGCTCCTCCGCCGGCACCGGCGCCCCATCAATCCCCAGCATCCGCCGCCGCGCCAGCACCTTTGCCACAAACACCAGCTCCAGCTTCGCATACTCCCACCACAGCTCCCTGCTGCCCTTGCAGAACCTCAGGCCGCGCTGCATGTGGCCGCGCGCCTCGGTGACGTCCGCATTGACCTCGACGGCGTGCCGCGCCGCAAAGATCCACAGCTCCGGGCGCGCCGGGTGCAGCTTGAGCACGCTCGCAAACACCCGCGCCAGCACCTTGCTGGACCGCTCCCGGCGCGCGTACGCAATGTACTGCATCCACAGGCCCAGGTCGCCCGGGAAGCGCCGCGTGGCCCGGTCGAGCAGGAAGAAGATGCGGCGCTGGCCGGCGTGCGTGCGGCCGTTGATGCCGAGGCGGGCCTGGCGCTTGCGGCGCAGGGATTCCAGGTTCATCTCGTACTCGGCGTAGCGGGTGTAGTCGGTGGGCTTGGGGGCGGGGGAGTTTACGCGGTGCTCAAACTCGGAGCGTTTTTTGGTGATTGCTGAGATTTCTTCCTGCGGGGGAGGGGAGGGGGGTTAGAGTTTGATACTGTCTTGTCTATCTGTGCTAGTGAGAGTGCAATTGGCGGGGGGGAGGATTGAGGGAGAGAGGGAGGTACCTTTGTAAAGACCTTCTTCTTTTCGAGGTCCTGCAGTTCGGGGATGGACTGCTCCAGGTAGAAGCGGGATTTGTCGGCCATGCTTGTGGACTGTGGAGGGTTTTCCGGAGAGCTGTGGTGGTGGTGGAGGAGGAGGTTGATGTTTGCAGGTTTCCACTGTGGCTGAGGCTCTGCAATCTTTTTTCCTCGCAGCATGCACGCTTGCACAAACAGGGCTAGGCTGGGTGTTTATCTTGTCTTATCCATCTTATACCATCTCATCTCATCTTATCTTATCTTGTCACATCTTATCCTATCTCTTCCCGTCTTATCAAGATCGGGCTGATCAGCACGGAGCCATCAAGCATGGTGTCTCACTCGGTCCTGCCCCATACATACGTCATCGCTCTCAAAGCGACGGTTCCAATTCCTGACGCCGATCGAGTGGCCACACATGCATATGGTGGAGCAGCTGGACACACAACATCCCCTTGCACAATAGAGACAGTTATGTAGATATATACATGTAGTATAGTACAATCAATGCCTCACCCCCCGAGCACTGACAGCACAGACAGGCAGAGAAAGCTGCAGTACTAAGGTATATAGTTGAGCGCATCTAGCTAGTATAGCCCCGTATCGACCGGGTTCCAGTCCACCATGCTGCGATATAATATGTGACGGCAGTGCGTATATGGAAGTACGCAGTACAGCTTACCACCTCAAACAGTCCCGAAACCGTTCTCCCCTTCTAGATCTGCCCCCACCCCCCACGTGCTCTCACTTCTCAATCCCACCGCAATCCCGCTGCCCCTCACCGAGAAGGCTACCGTGCTCAATCAAAGGTCAATCGTGAGTTCTGTTTCGTGGTTCCTAGCATTTCAAGTACTAGTGTTTTGGACTGACTGGAGTGGGTAGAACATGTCTTCCCGCCTGCTCCGCCCCAGGGTGGCGCCCATCTCCTATAAATATCCTCCCGTTTTTCAGAGAAACTCGAACCTGTTGGCTGCTCAGATAAGAAATGTTCGCCTCTCCGTAGCTTTTCACCCCCCCTGTTTCATTTTATCGATCAACTCCGCTGCCTTGTGAAGCCCCTCGCTCGGCGGGCCATACTCGATGGGATTTCCCCTGATGGTTCAGCTCTACCTCTCTCTATTATTTTATCCCTACTGGGAGTACATCCTCCCCATCAATTCCCTCCCTTGCAATTCGTCGAGCCCTTTCCTTGTCGGATCCATTTCCGTACGGATCTCTTTCTTTGCGGAACCATCCACTTTTTGATTCACTACCGGAGGGGCTCTTTCTCCAACTAGCCCTCCTCCTCCTCAATGAGCCGTTTCCTTCAATTAATCCCTCTCTTTGACGAGAGCAGTACGCAATGGTGAAAACAACTAACACCGCTAACTATTGCAGAGAGACGATAAACTCACCTCTTCCACTATTCAGGACCATCTGGCAACATCCATTGACGATTTTATATCTTCTGAGCTCTCCGGAGCCTCCGAGTCCGAGGATCTCATGTCTTCTGTAAAAGAAGTTCCTCCTCCTCCTAAAAAAGCCAAATTGGCGAGAGAAAAGAAGACACCTACAAAAAGAGTCAAAAAGGTCAAGATTGATGACGATGACAGCGCTGAGGGTACTACTCTGAAACAAAAGTGTCTAAAGATATTGCAAAAGAAGCCAAAGGCACTCAAGTTTCCCTCCGGCGAGACTCCTTATCCTGGTCTCACCAACCCCACCCCCCAGGAATGTTACAATGTGGCCGCGCTGTTAACTGCCGCTCATGGTCCGGCTAACCAGCCGGATGAGGTCCCAGAACCTGATAATGAGGTCTCAGGATGCGGCGAGGTTCCATCCGTTCTTGACGCTCTCATCAGGACTTTGTTGTCTGCCAACACCACTAATCTCAATTCCTCGAGGGCTTTCAAAGGCCTCATTGATAGATTTGGGTTGGTTACCGATGATCCCGTCATAACTTCTGAAGATGCCAAAATATCCGAGCATGAAGCCGGCCAGCAGATCATTGCAAAGGCTAAGAAAATCGGTGTTGGTAGTGTCGATTGGGACAGGGTCCGCCTGGCAAGCTTCGAAGATCTCCGGGATTCAATCAAGCAAGGAGGTCTTGCAAACATTAAGGCTAAGCACATCAAGGATGTTCTAGATGACGTCTATGCAGCTAGTCTGGTTAAGATTCGAGCTGACCTCATAGCCAAAGGTATCAAAGTCGGTGAAGACGAAAAGCTTGAAGGCAACATCTCGCTCGAGCATTTGAAGGATTGTAGTGATGATGAAGCCATGAATACACTTATGGCATTCAATGGAGTTGGAGTAAAGACCGCGGCCTGCGTTTGTTTGTTCTGTATGTGTCTGTCTTCTCCATAACTCTATGAAAAGCTTACTAACATACTATAGGTTTGCGCAGATCAAAGTTCCCAGTCGATACCCATGTTTGGCGCATCTCCAAGTTTCTCGGATGGATCCCCGTCAGTGCTGGCCGCGAAGAGGCCTACTATCACCTTGATGCTCGCATTCCAGATAATCTTAAATATTCACTACATAACCTTCTCATTCGTCATGGCCGCATGTGTGCCCACTGCAAGGCCGGCCCCGAGAAGGCCCCCGCTAAAATTCCCGCCAACCCCACCATTAAGCGTACTAAAAAGAACAAATCTGAGCCTGTCAATTCTGACACCGAAAACACGGAGACTGAAGTTATCAAGCCTAAGATGCGCACAAAGAAAGTTTGGATTGGAACTGGAATGATGAAGGAGGTTATCGTCGAGGTTCCTATTACTGGTGTTGAGGGTGAAGAGGGCGGTGAGGACCAAGAGCTTGAATCCTGTGTCTTGGAGGATTTGCTCAACCGTGTTCGCAAGCCTAGAGTTCGCGCACTTAAAGCTGAGCTCGGTGCCGTGGATGAGGTCAATACCGCAAATGGGGTTGATACCGGTAACGAGGTTGATTCCGGGAATGAGATTGATGCCGAGCATGAGATTGATGCCGAGTATGAGATTGATGAGGAGCATGAGGTTGAGGGTGGTGTGGGGAACGTAAAGACGGAGGAATAGAATAGGTTTGGGTGATGGCGGTGATGGAAATTTTCTTCTTACGCGTTGCCATATGCCCATCTAGTTATTACTCCACTGTTTCTTCTTGTCTATACTACCATTTAGTGGTCGACATGTTGCAGAGGATTAAGATTTTTAGGGATGTTTGATTCTAGACGAGAGTTAGGTGATAGCTGTATAAAAAGATCTAAAAAGATTGATACTCTACCTTGATAACATGGGATTCCTCCTTGTATGTATTGTAGACCTTGATAGAATGGGCTGATTTAGAAGCTTCAGGCATGATGTGGAGACGATCTCATGTTCCCAGGTTGGTCTATGAGTAAAAGGTGGCTCAAGCCAAAGACCAAGAAGAAAATACCCTGTCGTCTAAATAAACAAACCAAAGCCCTCCACTGACTCCTAGGTTACCGTAGTAACATCTATAACCATTCAATTCCAAGATACCAAATTTCTGAAATTCAACCACTAGCCCCGTTTTCAGACTAGACCACAACCACCCCCTACTGTTTATCGTCCTTAGAGAGCAGAGGTTACACGCAGAATCGACCCCTGACTGGAATAAGACTACACGCATCTGTGGTTTCCACGCACACGCACACATACATACACATACACATGGATCATCACCCGCGGGCAAATCATTTACATGAATTATCACTCGCACCGCAAAATAACTTCACATACAAGTGGTACTCTTATCCTCCGTCTCCAGGACGACATACGTATATACGATCTTCAACAGGGAGCGAATCGAGACAGTGAAAGAGCTGCGGCTGATTACAGAAGAGAGTCAGCACAATACTTCATAATAACGAACGTGTACTTGTAGTCCATTCGACGAATCCCGTCGTAGAGGAGACAGGAAGTAGTAGACACACTAGGGATCAGGGCAGACGAGCTATAATCTGCTTACAAAGAGTACAGATAAGACCCGGTAGTGTAGTGGTTAACACGCCTGAAAACGCAGCAAGTAGGAGAAAGAGCTGTGAAGGAAGCTTGGGTTCAAATCCTAACTGGGGGCGTCATATCATTTGTTTTTGTTTTTGGTTTTGGTTTTGCTTTACTGCAATTACCTCCATCATCGTGGCTATGTAGCTACCTGTCGCCCTTGGTAACATCGGTGTGTATAGTACTAGGACAGAAGTTTTGGCGATATACCCTTTTTACAGCGAAAGTAGCCATGTTGGGCTGCCCGAAACAACCACCCAATCTCATCAAAAAAAATTGTAACCCTTCAAGGGCAGTTGGAAATTATCTCAAGATGGAGCTTAGAGAATTCTAGAATTTTGTGTCCCCTCTTCAGTCGTGTGCCCTCCAATTTGTAAAGTGATGATTTGGGTTTTTCTGGTTTTGTATGGTGTCCCCATACAAATTTTGCGTTGCACCGGCAACCAAAAATCGCCAAAACTTCTGTACCCCGACTGTACGTATGCCCAAGTGAAGTCGATTGATAAACGTGAAACAACGCATGGTACAAGCCATGCCTTCTATTTCGCCAGACTTAATGGGGCTCATTACCGCAAGTTATGTTATCTCTCTGTTACATGTAGACATTCTAATTGTAGTGGCAGACGCACAGAGCTCTAGATCGAGAACGTTGCCCGCCGCTATATATACCAGAACCAACACCTGAACGACCACCTACAATCACATCATGTTTTACATTTGTCTACTTTCACTTTCCTGACCATGAATGGGCTTTCCTCTCTTGTCACAGGGTCCTAATCAAGGATCGGATCAGCCGAGTGATTATCCATGACCCAACCCTTCAAGGTAGCAATGAGCACATGTGTTATAACATATTGTCAAGAGACGCACTAGGTGGGCTCTTGAATTGCTGACCTCACCGAGCAGACTTCACCACCCCGGGTCTATATCCGGAGACCTTGAAGCCCCTAGCTAGATGTACGCAAATATGTTGCAACACTACATGTAGTCCGAACGACTCGGGATTTTCGGCATGCTACAACCTACAGTGCCGAAAAGGGGTAGGTATTCCCAATATAGGACAAACACCACATTCTACTAGAGAGTAGCTATACCATAATCCTAGCTAGCTAGCAATGCCGTAGTACTCTCCACAACATGTGTTGTGTGAAATGCGCATTTGGATGGATGTGCCAGCATTTTTCTAAGATTTACATTAATATTCTACTGGGGTAGGGGCAATACAGAATTCCACAGAATATAGTATATTTTTTTTTTTTTTTTTTTATAGCTACAGATCAATTACGACAGCATTCTAGAGAATATTGAACACCTAACCCTAACACACATTTCGGCCATGAAGCACCCAGACCCCACGAATCCTGACCGATGAAATACATGTGCCGTTAGATACACGTTACTATACCAATACTTTCATGGCTTTTCCCCCCCCTTTTTTTTATTTTTTTCTATCCTCCGCTGTAATGGGGGTTACAAAAGTTGCAAACTACTTTTGAAAAAAATTAAATTTCCTTCCCCATGCATGCATACCAATTTAGATTAATGACCTACACAGTGCTCATGCTGGATACGGGAGATTTGAAGCTGTTGGTCATGATGCATATGATATACACGTAAATGTAGCCCGACAAGATGAGTAGCCACTAATAGGGGGGGGGGCGGCCACTAGCAGAGGGTGCGGGCCACTAGCGGTAAGGGGCGGTGATAGATTTCAGTTTTGATACGGTATACTAGTTGATACGGTATACTAGTTGATACGGTATTTGGCACAATATCCATTCTGGAAATTACGGTAATCACCCAAAATTGCGCAATTGCAGTATTTCTGGAAATATTTATTGCACAGAATACCGAAATAAACCGGTGCAAAAAAAAAATATGTTAATCAAAAAAGATCCGGTAGTACTAGAAACTAGAGCCACGAAGCTGCAAGTTGCCTAGGTCTAATTATAACTAGGTCTTCACATGTACCTACATCGCCCCCCCGCCCCCATTTGTGCCTTGTTGGTATTTGAAAACCTCTGGGTACCGGCTTTACGAGTGCGAGTCAGCCCCCAGTAGATTTGTTTTCGAATGGCAAAATATGGGGAATGACTTGAGAACGGGGCCAAGCGTAATTACCGGATCTAAAGTGAGATTGTGAGTAGTATTTTTCACATGAGTTTGCGGTAGATCTAGAAGAATTCGGAACTAAAGAGAATTTACGCGCTAGCTACCAGACCAGTGTTACAAGAATATTATATACAGTTGAATAAAAACGATAATAGCTCCTTTGAACCTATTCAGCAACGATGACACTCGCCATTCCCATTCCCGTCCCAATACACATACTAGTAACTCCGATCTTTCCACCCGTTCTCTTCAACTCCGTCAACAAAGTGCTAACCTGTCTAGCACCTGTACACCCAAGCGGGTGTCCGAAAGCGATGGCACCTCCCTTAGGGTTAATCTTCTTTGGATCCAAACCGAGCTCATTCGCACACCACAAACACTGACTCGCAAACGCCTCATTGATCTCGAAGATGTCGACATCATCCTTCGTGATGCCTGTTTTCGCAAACACCTTCGGGATGGCGGCCCATGGCCCAATTCCCATCAACAGTGGCTCAACACCAGCAATAGAAGCAGCAACGAATTTTCCGATAATCTTCTGTCCAAGCTTCTCGGCCGTCGACCTACGCATCAGAAGGACTGCAGCAGCGCCATCAGTGATCTGGGAGGCGTTCCCGGCATGTATAGACCCATCCTTAGCGAACGCGGGGCGGATCTTCGAAAGACCTTCAGCGGTCATACCAGGGCGGATTCCGTCATCACGGGAGACGGTGATGCGCTTGACTTCGTTGGTCTTGGGGTCCTCAAAGTTGACTTCGAGAGGGTAGATTTCCTCGTCGAAGAGACCGGCCTTTTGGGCGGCTTCAGCTTTCTGGAAAGACTGGGCGGCAAACGCGTCTTGTGCTGTCCGTGGGATTTTACGGTCCTTGGCCATTTGTTCAGAGAGAACCCCCATAGGAACCTTGCAGTTCTTAGCTTCCTGGTGGGATTCTAGGAGCTCCGAGAACTCAGTAACAGCGCCTGGGCTATTAAAGGATTGATATTAGTTAATGTTCCACAAAGCTACATGAGAGGGTAGGGAGCGAATACCCATATTGGGTGCTCATAGACTCAACACCTGCACCGACTCCAATATCGATCATCCCCGACTTGATCGCGTTAACCACATTCACGACTGCCTGTAGTCCACTCGCACACTGTCTGTTCAATCCATAAACCGCTGTCTGTACAGGAAACCCCGCCACCAAGCTGGCAGCACGAAACTCAGTCGCACCACCACCAGGTGCAAGAACAGATCCAACATGGATGTCCTCGACGAGGTTCGGATCGATTCCTGAGCGTTCGATCAAGCCCCTGAGAACTCCCGCAAGGAGGTCTTGAGCTGGCGTGTCTTTGAAGGATCCTTTTCCTCCTTTGCAGAGGGCAGTTCGTAGCGCGCAAGTTATTACAACGTCATCGGCGTGCTTCTCTGTCAGGCGGTCGCGAGGAGAGGCAGTGCTTGGGAGAATTTGATTGGTTATTTGGGTTAGACGAGCTGTGGCTTCTTGGTATTAGCTATGAGAGCATCTTGGGTAGAAAGAAGCATGTGTGATATGTATACCTGACATGGCTGGATTATGAATCTAGAGTTTCGTGGGAGAGTTGTTACGGAGGAAGTACTTTCGAGGGGTCTTCGTGTGTGGATCTTTGAGCAGGAGAGAGATGTGAGATAGAGTGGAGGAAGAAGATCTGGGAGGGAGGAGAGTGAGTTGAAATAAGAACGACATTTCATTTTGCATGTGATGTCAACGGGCTGAAGCCACTCGCCAAGGTCTTTGTGCGCATGTGAAGATGTTTAACTCTCGTGATCCCGTGATCATGGGCGTGAGCCGAGGCCCAAACCGGTGGCCGAGGCCCCGAAACGGAGTAAGCCGATATTCACGGTGCTGGATTCCAGGGCGTGTTTTCGGCCGCAGATCATTGCCTTATAGTTCCAGGGTTAGGGCTGTTGATTTGACTGGTTCATTAACTATCACTCGGGGAACAAGCCAAATGCTACAGGAGCGATTTGAAATTGTTTGACGCTGCGATAATTCCAGATCTAACTACCAGTCAGGGGAACAATAAGAAAACACCTTTTTGTCTGCACTAAGAATCATACAGAACCCAATATTTTGTATCAGAGGACTGAAGTCCTATTCAATCCAGATAACAAATATCGTCTATTCCTGCGGGTAGCCCGCTGCTCGCTGCACAAGTCTCCTAGTCCTTTTGATTACCTTTGTGACGTTCGGAAATTAACCATTTATATTCAGGTTGGGGACATCGCGGATACCTTGCTTATGGTTTGCCAGAGACCCGAGTTGACGCAAGAGACATGCTTGCAATTGCTCTATGATCGAGTGTATATATATATCGAATTGAATGCACGGAGCATCACTGCGCGTGTATGTTAGAATTATACCGCTATATTGCGTGCATGTAGTATCTCGAATTTTGTATAGTCATATTACATGTAGTATAACTACATGTATAAACCGGTATGCATAGCAATCTACAAATCCCCGCAACCCGTGAACAAGTAGGGCATTTGTTGTGTATACCTGTGTGTTATTTGGCAAGCCAATTATATATACCTATGATTGAAGTCTAAAGCAAGGAGCTGGGACGGTGGAAATGATGGGCTGTCTGGCCAGTGGTAGGAGACAATGTTGCTCTCGCCATCTAGCATCACTAAACATCACTCGGCTTCTTCTCACAACACATCAGTACATGTAGTTTCGCAACATGTGACTTAATATGTTCTAAATACGGTACCTGGGCCGTGCGTTTGACGTCGTTCAATTAAGGTGTTCCTATCCCTGCAGACCGCCTGATAATCCCCAAAGACGCATTTATTTTTCTTTTGGGTTGGTTGCATTCCTACCGTAGGGTTAGGGGTGACCAGATAGAAACGTTGTGAACCCCTTGTACACTTGTTCCAATCACAGGCTGGAAGGGGCCTTTCCGTGGTAATTGTGGTTCGGACCTTATCACTCAGTG